TCTGTACCTGACTCATACCCAATGAATACCATTCTGGTGGATCTGTCAGACATTTTTGTCAGGCCAGGGCCAACCACCTTGACATGAGCCACACAACCAAAAGTCTTCAGATGGCTCACTGTTGGTTTCCTCTTGTACCAAACTTCAAATGGAGTTTTATTTTTCAATCTCCTAGTGGGTGATCTGTTTAAGATGTACACTGCAGTAAGCACTGCCTCACCCCAAAATTTTGCAGGGACTTGCATTGACTTCAGCATGCACCTAGCCATCTCCACCACCATCTGATTTCGATGCTCGACCACTCCATTTTTCTGTGGAGTATAAGGAGTTGTAGTATAGTGCTTGATCCCTTGCTCATCACAGAAAATTGAGAACAGATTAGAGGTAAATTCTCCCCCCCTATCTGTTCTCAGCCCTTTCACCTTGCATTCAGATTCTACCTCAGCCCTTTGCTTAATTTTCTTGAAGCAGTCCAAGGCTTGGTCTTTGGTTTTCAATAATTCTACCCACATAAATCTGCTGTAGTCATCCACCACTAACAGAAAATATGAGGCACCACCTGGGGTTGGTGGAGTTATGTGACCACACAAATCAGCATGCAGCAGCTCTAGACTCTTTTCTGCTCTGAAATTTGAAGCTTGTGGGAATGGAAATCTATGTTGTTTCCCTATGACACACCCATCACAAATCTGCTCAACCCTGTCTACAATTGGCATACCTTCTACCATTCTTTTACTGCCTAAATCTCTAAGTGCTCTGAAGTTCAGATGGCCAAATCTGGTATGCCATCGCCAAGCTTCATCACTGGATTTTGCTAGTAAACAGACAGGTGCTGCTAGACCAAACTTGACAGTGTACAATCTATTTGCAGTTCTAGGAGCAGAAATCAACAAAGTGCGGGCTTGATCATAAACACACAGTCTCCCATTCTCAAGAACAACCTTAAACCCTTTCTCTTCTAACTGACCGAGACTGACTATGTTGCTTTTCAGTTTAGGGATGTAATAAACGTTGGTCAGTACCTTGTGTTCGTGATGACGCCCCTCCATCACCACTGATCCGATCCCTTCAATCTCGACACGGGAGCCGTCACCAAAGCGCACAGTACCGCGAACACCTTGATCGAGCTGTGACAGCGTTGATCGTGTTCCGGTCATGTGATTGCTGGCGCCGGTGTCCAGCACCCAAACTCCGTCAAGGCACGTCGATGGGGACCACCTTCTCCATTAGATGCACGATCTGAGTTGGACTGCGCTCAACACCGCACGATGCCAACAGCAGAACGCCACCGTGCTCACCACCGCCGCCGGCTCCTTCTTCTTCTCCTTTTTAGGCCGCTTGCAATCTTGTTCCCAATGACCGTAGATGCCGTAGATCCGGCATCGGCCTTTTCTCCGCGGCATGCCCTCGGAGGTCAATTTGACCTCGCCTGAGGCACCGCCTTCAGATCGCGCCACCGCCTTGTTCTTCTTGGAGCCACCGCCACCACCGCCACCACTTCCACACGGCTTGGCCCCGGTGTGGAAATGATGCTTGTTCTTCTCGAGCCAGTCCTCCTCCGCGAGGAGAAGCCGGCCCATCTTGTCCGTGACCTTGTCCACCTTGTCGTCGAGGCGTTCCTCCGCCGCGCGCAGTCGCCCGATGAGTTCCTCGATGGTGAGTGTTTTCAGATCACAAAACATCTCGATCGAAACGACCATCTGATTGAACCTCGCGGGGGCCACACGGAGGAACTTCTTGACCACGCGTTCATCGTCGATCGTCTCGCCGAGCGTCTTGAGGTTGCCGACGAGGTTGGTGATCCGCATACCGAAGTCGTCGATGGATTCGCCCTCTTTGAAGGCGATGTTCTCGAACTCCTTCAACAGCTTCTGGGCGTTCACCTCCTTCACTCGATCTGCACCGACCCGCATCGTCCTCACCGCCTCCCACGCCTCCTTCACGGTCTTGTGCCGACCGAGCGACTGCCACATCTCCTTCGGGACAGAGCGCAAGAGCGCGCTCATCGCCTGCCGATCCTGCGCCCGCTTCACATTGGTACCTGGGTCGATCACCCCCCAAATCTCCAATGCTTCGTAGTTGCATTGCATCAGCATCTCCCACTCGGTGTAGTTGTCGCGCGTCAACATTGGCCACATCAAGGAGCTTTCCTTGACGCCGCCGGAGGAGCTCGAGTTTTCGCCCATGGCGATCGGCGGTGGTTGTCGTCGCGGGATCACGCGCTTCTTCCTCGCAGGCTCTCGAGGGGGACTCACGGATCCACCGTAGTGCATCCACCGGGCTCTGATGCCACGTGTTGGCGCCGGAGTGGCTCCGACGCTGAGATCTTGCCGGCACCGGCGAGGTCCGATGCGCGGTCACCACGGAGAACCGCCGAGAACACACGCGAGAGCACGAGAGTGGACACAGGTTTTTTCACTGCAAAATGGTGCAGCGTTTTTTTGATGCATTTCATGTTCATATATGCCCGGCGTGATCCGCATCCCCCGCCACGACGTGCTGCTGCACGGTGCTCCTTATCTTTCGGAACCCGTGCGACAAGCACGGCGAGCCCGTCATGGCGGGACAGGCATGGTGGGCGCGGTCAAGGCGCAGAACGTGCAAGTCTCCGTTCTGCCCCTGATTCTACGCGCGTAATCAAACATGCTTACAACTGAATTACAATCGTGTAAACTATGCTAATGCACCTACATGCTGATACAAATTTTGTTTGACATGATTACAAAGATGCAGTGCAACACCAGGCTCCCCGGCCTGGCCGCTGCCACTGCTCCCTGACTCCACGGGTTGGCTAGCGCTAGCAGAGCCGCCGCCACTATCAGCACCACCTGCCTCCTCGAGTTGGCTAGCAGAGCCACCGATGATCAGCACCACCTGCCTCCTCCGGGTTGGCACTAGCAGAGCCGGCACTGCCGGCATGATGATCCCCAGGACAGACTGGCCTGCCACGGCATCTGGCCCGGGTGTTGAGCACGCCACCGCTCCCCTGACTCCATGGTGACTTCTTGATTGTCGTAGTTGGCATTCTTCCACGTTAGAGTGTTCCGCCACCAGCTCCATGTTCGAACCGGTGATGATCTCGATCTTAGAGCATCCCCGTCGTGGCCACTAGAGCTGCCACTGCAACATATGGCATCCAAAAGCCACCGGGTGTTGAGCACGAGGCAAATTGCAAATGGGACTAAACCCCAACAATAGACGCTTTAGTAATGGTGACTTGACACTTGATTTTTTTGTCGTAGTTGGCATTCTTCCACGTTCGAACCGGTGGTGACCAGGTGTTCTGACATCCACCTGCTCCCACAGCAGGTCCACAGGTAAGGCATTTGGGACGCACCAGATCTTGAGGTGAATCCGCCTTATATGTTGTGCTCCCCCACCGTGCCGGTCCACAGGTAAGGACGCACCAGATCTTGAGTGAATCCGTGCCGGTCCTCCACGTGCAAAGAAGTCGTGGATAGGATTCATCCTTGCCGACTCGCAGACCACGACCATCAGGCCCGCCCGTGCCTCCCTGGCAGTCAATCTGGTACCATTCACCAGACGATCTGGGTCGCTCGACCACGACAGCCGTTCCACGGCTTGAACCATGAAGGTCTTGTTCAGCGGTTCAGCCTCAAGGATACCAGTCTATCAATAACTTGATTCCTGCGGCTGCGTTGGTCTTGGTCTTGGACGTCGAGTATGGTTCTGTATTTGAGGCCCCAGTGTAGGCGTTGGGGATTGTATTCATCAACTGGAAGCATATGGTCGCTGCCCTCGTCGAGAATCTCATAACAAACTCCATCCTTGTTCTTGAAGCCATGGACGTACAGGTTGTCATCCCGCATGATTAGGGTTGCACTATTCAACTTTCTTTTTATTGCCGCCCTTCACTTGTAGCTTGACGTGAATCCACCTCGCCGGTCCATTACCCACCCGCCTGACCCTGGGAAGCAATGGGTGTTCTCGGATTCTCGAGAGATTTAGGAAGTCGTGGCCATCCAAGATATCCTCACGGCCTGGGTCGTCAGCTACCAGGCGACGGAGAGCCATTATGAATTCAGTGAAGGACACTTCATCGTCATGACGACTCCTTTCTATGGTGTAAGCTACAGTGGACCGTTCGCGTGTCCTTAAACCCGGCTTGATCCGCTTATTTTTTCATCTGGAACAGTGTTTTTCTCTCCAAACCATCCAGATTCCTCCAGAATTCAGACAAGCCAGACACCATTTCGATATGCATGCATGTCGTACAGGAATTTAGTTAAAACAAGAAAGGAAGTGATGATAAATAATGTGTTTAATATTTGACGCTGCTACTACTTACTAGTTAATAATTAATTAATGGTCGCCAATAAATCAATTCGAAATGTTTACCTCCACTGGGCTCTTAGGTTGTTCAGGAAAAGTAGTAATAAATTCATGCTCCCCAATCTCTTCAATATCTTCACCCCGCACATATAAATATACGCACATATGAGAAAAGATTGCACAAAATCTTGTCATACAAATGCCCCCCACCAAGTTAAGTTTGAATGGCGGAGCGAGTTCAAGCTTGACTTGGTGAAAAAGAAACAATTAGACTAAGATATATGAAACTAGCTGCAGCCTTGGATTTTGATGACTTTTCAATTCATAAACTTTACATGAATATAGGGCACCGTCTGTGCTCCCTTCTATTTGTTTATAAAAACATCATGCTTGAACTGACCATGCACGTATATTTCTGACTGCACGCACATGTGTCACACATGTTTATCAATTAGCTAGCTTATTTAGCTCATGGTACTGGTGCATATATGTGATGCCCCTTCTTTAGCTCAATATCCTAAGGTTTATGACAGGCACTGCTACTGAACGAGAGAGAAGTGAACATGTGCTCATCCCTCCTCTGGCCCTGGACAAACGGCAGAGCAACTGAGGGGAGGCCACATCGCACAGCTGCCTACCTCAGATTCCCATTCCCTAGTGTCATTAGCTGCATTAGCAATACTCGTTGCTTCCTTGTTGCACTCAGATCACTCCAAGAAGCTAAAGACGTCAGATGTACTGTCGAGGTCGTCGAGGAAACCGTAGTCATCGGCTTCGTCGAACCTGAAGAACGCGTCGTCGCCCGCGACCTCGAAAGGCGGGAAAGAGGCGACGTGGTTGGAGTCCGAGGTCGCCGAGGACACGCCCCAGTTCTTGGACCTGGACGGCGCGGAGAAGGGGCTGCTCTCCAGCACGAGGCGCCCGCTCACCATCGCCGGCGTGGAGGAGAAGCAGAAGAGCACGGGCGCGTCCCAGCCCAGCAGCTGCTGCTCTGGCTCCACCGTCAGGCTGGAGCTCAGGCTCTGCAGGAGGCTGCTGGCGCCCGGGTTGGCGTTGTACTTGTACTCCGGCGCCTGCGCGTCCGTGGCAGCCTGACCCGGCGCCACCGCCGCCCTCTGGCCCTGAACGCAGGTGTGTTCACCTATGTAGACGATGTTAAAGAAGGTCGGGTCCTCATCGGTGCCCTGCACTTGCTTCACCGCCTTACATCCCTGAGAGTTCCAGTGCGTGCAGCGGTTGTAGGCCTTGCAATATTTGTTTAATTTGCGCGGATCAGATCAGGTCAGGCAGGCCCATCAAGTTTCGTCCGGAGCACCCGAATCTTGTTTGTTAGGGGAAAAGAAGAAGAAGAGACTTTGCTTGTGCATCCAGAACATTTGGGCTATGAATCACTGATTCACTGTTCCCCCATCGGACGAACACTTGCAAACAGCACAAACAAACAGCGGCTGCAAAATTTTCACCAAGATAAGAGTGCAGCCCCTTCATCCAAAGCAGATAAGAAAGCACAAGGAAATGATTTCGATTCCACTTGCTAAGACCACGTGCAGATGAGATTGGGCCGTGGAGTCTGGAAAAGAAAAGAAAATCTTTTGATAGATAGGAATTGTGTAAGTCAAGTGGCAACCTTCTGTGCTTGGCTCCAAGGATCTACTTCTGGCCGTACTTTCTCCAGTTGTGGCCGTCGCCGGCCAGGAGGTCCGCCTTGCTCACCCTCAGCTCATGCCTCTTCTTGTTCCTGCATATAAATTAATAGTATAAACGACTTGAGAAACTCAGCTAACAGAGACCAATTAATTAAGATGGTTTATGTTCCTTAATCGGGAAGCTCGATCGACGCCCTTCCTCGATGGGGGCCTGCTTGGTAACTTTGATGGTGGCAACTGGCAAGAACCAAGCATTACCTTTTCAAGGTGGCCTTGAAGATGGGGTCGTCGGAGGCGTCGCTAAGCATGCTGATGGAACGGTTGGCGATGGAGGAGATCTGCGAGGCGAGGTGCTTGCAGAGGTCGGGCGCGGAGCCGTCGAGATGCACCTCTTGCTGCCTCACCAGCTCCTTGATGTGGCACAGCTCGGTCACCACCTGCGGGATGCATCCATTGCCGTCGACGAGATCGACCCTGGCCGCCATTGCTCGAACCTCTTTTTGCTAGCCGTCGCGCAGGCTAGATTAGGTTCGGATGGCGAAGACTGTGTCGCTGCTGCAGGGAGAAGAGGGTAGTGGTGGGGAGGTGGGCTGTGAGGCGAAAGCCGGAGCGAGCTGCCCCGTTTATTTATAACGGCGACGACGGAAGGAAAACAAGGGGAGCGAGCTCCTAGCTCTATATTTTGACGTTTATTTTCGTCTTGAGATCATGAAGTTTTCATTTTGTACATGCCAGATCATGAATTAGTAACTGCAGCTAATCTCTGAAAAGTCCCGATTGTTTTGATTTTTGGAATGGGATTTTTAAGGAATCCCCATGAATAGAATCAAATCTTATTCCATGCTATTTCCTTAAGATTCCTCTTTCTTATTCTTAAGCAAGCCCCCGAGAGGGCTTAGTTGATCATGATTTCTGTTTTCTCTTTTTTTTCCTTTTTATTTGTTTCGAAAAAGATATTGTCCGATTGTCCTTCTATTGATTCTTTTCCGATCGAGATGTATGGATCCATGTGTCTACATACCTAGATTCTGTTCATGGATTGAAGAAAATGTGCAAGAGCTCTATTTGCCTCTGCCATTCTATGAGTCGCTTCTTTTTTGCGTATGGCACCCCCACTCCCTTTGGCAGCATCTACTAAATCAGAACTTCATTTGAAAGCCATATTTTGACCCGGACGCTTTTGGGATGCTTCTAATAACCAACGAATGGCAAGTGCTCTTCCTTGTTTAGATCCTATTTCAATCGGAACTTTCCGCGTCGATCCTTTTTTATTACGTCTTGTTTTTACTCCTATATTGGGAGTTACTCTACGTATTGCTTGACGTAAAACCAATAGTGGATTTGTTTCTGTCTTTTGTTGAATCTTTTTCACGGCTCGATAGAGAATTTGATAAGCCAATGATTTTTTTCCGTCTTTCATAATACGGTTAACCACCATGTTAACTAATCGATTACGAAAAATTGGATCGGATTTTGCGGTTCTTTTTTCTGCAGTACCTCGACGTGACATGAGCGTGAAAGAGGTTCAAGAATCCGTTTTCTTTTTATAAGGGCTAAAAACGAATCACTTATTTTTTTGGCTTTTTGGCCCCATATTGTAGGGTGGATCTCGAAAGATAGGAAAGATCTCCCTCCAAGCCGTACATACGACTTTCATCGAATACGGCTTTCCACAGAATTCTATAGGGATCTATGAGATCGAGTATGGAATTCTGTTTACTCACTTTAAATTGAGTATCCGTTTCCCTCCTTTTCCCGCTAGGACCGGAAATCCTGTATTTTCCATATCCATACGATCGAGTCCTTAGGTTTCCGAAATAGTGTAATGGAAAAAGAAGTGCTTCGAATCATTGCTATTTGACTCGGACCTGTTCTGAAAAAGTCGAGGTATTTCGAATTGTTTGTTGACACGGACAAAGTAAGGGAAAACCTCTGAAAGAATTTCCATATTGACCTTGGACATATAAGATTTCCGAATCGAATCTCTTTAGAAAGAAGATCTTTTGTCTCATGGTAGCCTGCCCCAGTCCCCTTACGAAACTTTCGTTATTGGGTCAGCCATACACTTCACATGTTTCTAGCGATTCACATGGCATCATCAAATGATACAAGTCTTGGATAAGAATCTACAAAGCACTAGAATGCCCATGTTGACGATTCTTTACTGCGACAACATCTAGGGTTCCTCGAATAATGCGATATCTCACACTGGGTAAATCCTTAACCCTTCGTCCTCTTACTAATACTATAGAATATTCTTGTAAATTATGGCCAATACCATGTATATAAGCAGTGATTTCAAATCCAGAGGTTAATCGTACTCTCGCAACTTTATGTAAGGCAGAGTTGGGTTTTTTGGGGTTGATAGTGGAAAAGTCGACAAATAAGTCATCCTTATTGTCCCTCTACAGAACCATACATGAGATTTTCACCTCATATGGCTCCTCGTTCAATTCTTTCGAAGGGATCCTTTTCCTCGTTCGAGAGTCTCCGCCCTTCTTCCACTCCGTCCCAAAGACTAACTAAGACCAATTGAGTCACGTTTTCATGTTCTAATTGAACACTTTCCATTTATGATTAAAGGAGAAGATTGTTCTTTTACCAAACATATGCGGATCAAATCACGTCTTATAATAAGAAGAAATCTTTCTCGGTATCAATCCCCTTGCCCCTCATTCTTTTAGAATCAGAAGGATCCTTTTCGAGTTTCCATTTCTTCATTTTGAATCTGGGCTCTTCTATCTTTGACTTATTTTTTGGCTTTATTCTTTATTTATTTCATATCAAATTTTCCCTCTTCCTCTATCCCTATCCTATAGGTACAGCGTTTGCATCAATAGAGAACTTTTTCCTCTGTATGAATCGATATTATTCCATTCCAATTTCTTCCCGAAAGAAGTAGCATGCGTCACGGCGCCACCATAGCCCAGGGGATCACTTACCAATAACTCACCCCCGGACCCCAGCTTGCCAAAAAGAAAGACACCATCCACATCACTTCCGCTGCCTCCCTCTTTGCCAGTTGTTTTTTTCCCGCCTACTAGTTTCCCTGCTATTGCTTATCCTGCTAGTGCAGATCCTGCAAGCGTAGCACCTGTCCCCCCCCCATCGAATGTAGGAACATTAGGTAACTCTTAACTATCATCTGAGTTTTCTTTTTTAGGAATATTATATATGTACTTAAATTGGTGGTAAGATAAAGCTAGACCACAACACAGTAACTGTTGAGAATCTAGAAACAGAAAAGGATAAGTATTTGAAGTATCTCTGCCAGGACATCCACATACTAGGAGAGGACGGTGGTCACACAGATGTATATATACCATATGGTGAAAATCTTCATTTTTATGATGTCAACTCTCTTTATCCATTTGCTGTGTTGTGGGATATGCCTGGGGGGAACCCGAAGTGGGTAAGTAATGAAAGAATAGATGATGAAAAAGATTTCATTCTGTTGAAGGACTTGTTCGGTTTCATTCAAGCGTTTATAATATGTCCAGATGACATTGATAAGCCTTTTCTATCATATCGAAAGAAGGATGATGGGACATTGATATTCGGTACTGGTATGTTTGTAGGTGTCTATTTTTCTGAGGAACTCAAATTCGCAGAAAAACTTGGGTACTTGGTCGTTCCAATCTGTGGCGGGGTCTTTGACAGAATAGAATCACCATTCAAGGATTTTGTAAACGATCTATACCAACGAAGGCTTGAGGCAAAGCAGAAAGGGGAGAAAGGAATTTCATTCACAAAACCACAATGAACAGTCTTTATGGCCGTTTTTGTATATCGCCAGAAAGCACTTTGGGGATATAGTAAATAAAGAGAAAGCTAACTATATGGCCCTTAATAACCCAGGATTTATAGATTACAATCAATTAGATGAAGATGTGTTCCTAGTAACCTATGAAAACTAAGTTAGTGATAATTTATTGCACCAAGGGGGTAAGCAGCCAGCTAATTCTGCTGTTCAGATCTCTGCAGCTAGTAGTGCCTATGGCAGGATAATCCTATACCCTTTTATTGCAAGGGATGATTGCTATTATACGGACACGGACTCAATTGTTCTCCAGAACGATTTTCACCAGAACTGATATCACCTACCAAAATAGGAAAGTTTAAAAAAGAACACTTTGTATTTAAGGGGATCTTTTTGGCTCCCAAGTCATACAGCATTCAGATAGAATCTAATGAATTCATCTTAAAGCATAAAGGAGCAGCTAAAGATCAAATCACTCAACAATGCTTCATAAACCTGCTAGAGGACCCAAGTTTAAGACTGGAGTTTCTATGTCCAAAAACCGTTACAATAAATTCAAAAAATTGATCTATTGAGAAAAAAGATAATAAAAAATAAACATTTGAGATAGGAAGATAGGAAGTAATAAGCGTAAATTAGTATTCAATGAGGAGAACGTGTGGATAGGGACTAAACCAGTTCATATAGGAGATGATCATCTTGATAATATCAATCATACAGCCTATAAAGTGAGAAAAACCTTAATAGGTAAGCAGAAGGGGAAATCTCCCCACTTTGAATATATAATACAGTATTAGATCGTGTAAAAGATCATAAATCTGATGATGATAAGAAGATCGAAGATGATAATAAGAAGATAGAATCTCATGAGACAAACAAGACTCAAGCTGTTAAGGAAGATAAGAATCCAGATAAAATGAATAAGGCAGTTCATAGGAAGAAGAATAAGAAGGGATAAGAGCAGTTAAGAACAACCATAGCGGGGGATGGTGGTGGGGTAAGAGCAGTTAGGAAGCATAGCGGGTAAAGGTTGAGAGAGAAAAAAGCTGATCTCAGTGAAACAGGTCAGAATACTCCCTACGTCTTGACAACAGGGGTAGAGTGAGAAAAGAGCTGTTGCTCTTGCGGATACTGTGCCAGTGGCAGCGATGCATTCTGTATGTAGCAATTAGTAATGGGAACAGAACGGGAAAGTCGGTGCGGCTTTCGATAACTAATACTACTGGGGGATGAGCCTCAAGAGGGTAAAGCTAAACTCCTTCAATAAGCTCCTTAAAAGGTGGTAGAACCATCTCAATCGAAATGAATGGAAGATGACTCTAATAAGAAATGCATAGGCCATAGCCTCCTATTTACCAGTGAAATTCAATGATGGAGTTCGGGGATACCAAAACAAGCTTGAGAGATATCCGCAGGCTAAAATTGGAAGAAGAAAAAGAAATGAATCTTTCGGAACAAGAAAAAGAACTTTCAAATGCAATAGATACTCTTGACTTGGAGAATTCAAATCATCGTGCTTACGCTGCAGGGTTTATGATGGTTAGGCCTGGTATAAAACCAGAGAAGTCTGATATACAGTTGTCCTATACAGATGAATATGATCTGTTGGTCGATAATCCTGATGATTTCGAGGAAAAGAGTACGGTTATGCTAAAGAGTTTTATTAATGCCATAATTAAAGCTGGGAAAAAAGAAAGAAGAGTGACTGTGGCCTACTTTCACAAT